TTGTCGACAGATACTGTCGACAAAGCTTCTGTCGACAAAGAGCGTCTAGACTACATCCAGTTCTGTCGACAAAGCAAGCTGCTTTGTCGACATGATAGTATAGATGCAAAGGACAGTGTAGACGCAGAACTCTGTCGACAAAAGGCGTTATTCCTCGTAGAAATAGGTTTACAGCTATCGACAAAACTGCTGAGTTCTGTCGACGTTATGTTGACAGAACTCAGTGGCAGTGTAGATGCAGGTATAGTTTTGTCGACAAAAGTCCACTTTTGTCAACAAAACCCTGTAGTCTAGACACACCCTTAGTCTGACCTAGTTCAGCCATTCTTATGTTCTTATGTTTCTGAGTTTATTTACTTTAAATACTTTTTCACGTCCATAGAATAACAAGGAAATTCAGATGAACCATTATAAAAAGAACTGAAGGTGGAGAGGGAGAAGAAACTCAAAGTAGACCCTAGACTCTGATACTACGTATGCCTCCTCCCCCATATCTTACTTTTTGCCAACTAGCTGCCTGTGCGGAGTAGTTAGGTAGACATTTTAACATCTTTTAAATCTTTTTAGTTAAATTTCTTTCTTTCTGTGGTGAATGTCACCGTCTGACTAATTAGTGGGGACATAATATCAGAAGCTGAAAATGGAAAAAGTCTAAAATGAATTCAGTGCTGAATTTCTCTTTCCAAGTTATCTTTGAAGGTTTTTTTTTTAATACAAGCAGAAATAACTGCACAAAGTTAAAATTAGGATACCCTTAAACACTTGGCTCAAACTATGATGAACTGAAATCTAGAGAGTTGTTCCAACTTATATCAGATCTTCATTTGACCTGCTGCTGTGAATACAATCATATGTCAGTGACCTTTAATAATGTATACCCTTACAGCAAAAAAGTGCAGCAGGTGCTTTAGAAACAAATATAAAGAGAAGATCTCTACCGAGGGAAATTTACGATCTCTAATTTTTTAAATGAAGTGTTTCTAATTTTCTGCCTGAAATTTTGCAGTGTAGTCTACTGCACCCAGAATTAGTT